ATCTTAGAAGTTGATGGCCTTATTGGAGTGACGGTTGGACTTCACGACATATACGAACTTGAACCTTACCCAAACTGCAACTTTTCATGTTCCATGTTGGCTTCCCAACTAATCCACATTGGCACGAGGGGTGCGATAATGTCATTGCTGGCCCACCTGGTAACTTTCTGAAAGACTGCACAAATAGAAATTATCTCCCTGAGTGCGAACAGAGTTTACCTCGCCCGCGTAAGTTCATGGGAAAGTGGGGGGATGTCCGCTTCCTTCATGCACCTCACCACAACCTCGACTACTCGAAGCTACCGTCGTTTCCATCGGTATAATTGAAACACGGAAGACTAGCAGAACTCATTTGTCAGTAGATAGCTATCGAATATGCGCTCTCCTTATTCCCGATCGTTTGACGTCCGCTGGATGTGCCCCCCGGAACCTGTACGTACCTGCAAGCATCAAGATCACCTACCTCGGGGTTCGTCTGCCCTATTCGATCTTTTTCACAGTTGTTTCATGTGGAATTACCCCCTCGTCAACTTCTCCATGTAGAATGATAAGGTTTCGAGAACCATCTCTGACCGTAAATCAATGTGTTCGGTGCGTACTTGTCGGTACAGGTGGATGAGGTAACGTGCATGATAAAATGTTGTCTTTAACCCCCGTGCCTCTTGCCGTCCCCATATAGGTCGAAAACCCCGAATTTACGCCCAATTCCTCCGATGTCGAGGTTGCCCTAGCTGTCATGGATCCGACCAGGCTGTTGTGGCACCAAGATCAAGCGGGAATCATTCCCAATGGTTGTGCCCGGGTAAACAATCGTACTGATGCCTCCCGCCACAGCGCTCGCCACCTCTGGTATTGGGAACAGGTATGCTGTTCTTTTGGTTGGGCTGAACTGGTTGCTCTTCACGATCGGTCAATTGTTTACCCGCATTTGCTATGCCACATCAGACCCCCCGGTACACAATCCTCGGTACAAAATCTTTAGACCTGCATGTGTGCACAACGGCAATAACCGACCCGCGCCTCGCCGAAAATCGCCGGATATTGGTGCTTCAAGTCCCATTCGTCAGTCTCCCACCAACACCAACGACGCGAAAGCGTACCCGAAGCAAGCGTACCCAAAGCAAATTGTGCGACTCGCCTGCACAAACAATACTACGTTCAACTTTGACCAAACGATAGCGCTACAGCCCTGAGGCAAGTCGCAGCCTCTACTGGCAGCTGTACAAGTCGCTGGCGGCCTACCGCATGGCCCTCCGAGAAGAAAAACGAATGGGGAATGGCTTCACCTACGACTGGGTTATACGTGGTCGCCTCGACGTGGCCTGGGCCCGCCCCCTGCCGCCTCTTCGGTCGTTTTCTCGGCAAGCTGTGTGGTTTGGCCGTCACTACTGGTGAGCATCCCCGACATATTTCCGACATGTCTACACTGCTGCCTATTCATCTCTGTATTTGGAACCTCCAAAAAAACAGAGCATATTGTAGACACGCCCGTACACACACCGAAACATCGTGGTTCACCCCTCCTCGTCTTAATTCCCAGGCCGATGTCGGACCACTTCGCCCTCGTGCCTCGAAAGTTCTCCGATCGTTTCTTCTCGGCGGTAAAGACGTTTTACGCCTGCGATGGGCGTTCGTGGCCGCCGCCGTCGTCGTGGTGGCAGCCTGAGTGTGCTACCATCGGTTTCGAAGAGAGCGTGCTCTTCAGACACCTCCATGCCTCCGAAATTCCGTATCATTTTTACCCTCTGTTCGACTTCATTATTACGCGGGGGGTGATCGGTGGCGTGTGCAAGCTTGGATTCATCGTGTATTCCGAAGTTTGCAGCCTCTTGGGGTTGTGGAACGCTCTTCAGCCGCCGTTCTTCCGGTGAGTGGTCCAGGCGACCTATACTGTGGCATGAATGTACCGTGCGTTCCGTTGGAAATGAAGCTGTTGTCTGTGGGGATTGACCACACGAAATTGAAACCAGGGTGATACTGATTCGCAGTCTGCCGATCGTTTTTGCCGTGCTGCTTCGTTGATATGCCTTCTCCTAACCTTCTCCGTCGGTGTCGTATGCGTATTTCAGCCTTTGCCACGGTATCTACGACTCCGGTCTGCAAATGTTCTATCTATTATCCACACAGACTTTCTCGTGCGTGCTTTTGGGTTGCCTTCCTCCGCTAAACCCTTCGAAACAGAGATGACTGTCTGGAGGCGCTGGCGGAATATTCAGATCTTCGATGTCGAGCTCTGTTTCCCGCCCGAGGCATGGAAGATGAACGAAGAGTGGACGCAATCTTAAACCCAGAGCCTCGAGCATGGGAGGCACTACTAGACTCGAGCCCTTCACTGGAGCCTATCCCCGCAGTAGCAACGCCAGGGCCTTTGGGTGGGGCAACGGAAGGAGACTCCAGCGATGCTTCCATCTACACGAGCGTTCCAAAGGCTGAAGACGTTGATAGCGCACGCCGAAAGCTGGTACTCCTGAGAGATGCATTACAGGCTCCTTCACCCCTTGAACCCCACTATGACATGGCGCTTCGGGAAGAAGCGAAGGAGCGCAGTCTGTCGGATCGTTGGGGAGGATGGAAAACACATCCCCTATGGTGGATTCACTCCATCATGGGATGCCCTCTTGCCGAGGTGACGAAAACTTTTGACATGTGGTCGCTCACGCTGGAACCTGCGAAGGGTCCTAAGTTTTTGTCCGTGGTCTTCAAAAATGATTTGTAGTGTTCTCTGAGCCCGTCCGCGCCCGTTGCTCACAACGGTTTCCCTGATCCTACTTGGTTCCAACGTTCACTTCCGTTCGAGGGGCTAGTATGTCAGATTCGAGGTGTTAATTTTACCCTGGAAACGGGTACGGTTTGCTCCCTGTGTTTCTTGTTTTCTCCGTACGTCGGCAGCCTCAGCATCCAGGTCCTTCGCCCCACGTTGTGCTGTACTACACCATGGGAGAGCCCCTGGTTAGGGAGTTGGTCCTGTCAGTCAAGTGCTTCGTATCCAGAATAATCGGCGAAACTCAGGTTGGAGGTGGAGACACCAACCAGAGTTCATGCAATGGTGTCAGGTGAGACAGAAGCACAACGTTTGCCCCTATCAGAATGCCCAAACTATGAAATTCATCCGTCGGTACCATTCCATGGATGAGATCCTTGATAGGCATGCAGCAACGTTGCGTACTCAAGTTTTCGTTGGAAGAGGTACGGAACCACGGAGAACATTTGCAACAGTCGATTGGCGCTGTGGCCACCTCGCTGTTGCTGTCGTCAAACTCAGGCAGGAGATATTCTGTACTAAAAATCAACAACGATTGGCTTCAATTCGCGTTCGTCGTTGAGAATCATAATCAAACCAAACAAAAGTGTCTTTCTCCGTCTCGAATGTCCTCAAACGCTTCACTACCACACCACCCCTCTACAGCATATGGTACTTCCTCATTGGCAAAAATTCCACTGCTAACTTCTGCCTACTTTGTCCATTGGCCACTTTGACCTATTCCATGGTTGCCCCTACTCCATTTCTCGACTGGGCCACGTTCGACTTCGTATGGCGGTCTGGGGTGGCGCGTTCATGTCTTCAGGTCGTTGGACATCGTGATGATTGACGTTTCTCTACACACGAAAGAGGTGAGTACGCCAAGGTGCTGCCGGGAGATTTTCGCTTTGCGCCAAATGTTTTTCAAGTATCCGCGTCCGCTGGCTTACCACCGCTGCAAATCGCACAATACGACAGCCGTTTGTCTTATTGATGCTGTTGCCCATACGTTTTCCAGCCTATCCTGAATTTCGCGCGAGGGTTGGCGAAAACGCTGGGAGGTCACATCTTTGTTTGAACTCGCTCCAAACGATACCCTTTTTCTTCTGGTTAAAGAAAGATAGGTCAACCTTGTCCTTCATCGTGATTGAATGACCCCCCGCCCCTCCCGTACGACTGTCTCTTTCGTGTCTGATTCCGTGTCTCAGCTTGGCATCTGCACGGCTGACGGTAGCTTGGGGCTGAGCGCCTCCGAGCATGTATCACGCTTCTTCGACAACCCAGCAGCCCATTGCGTGGGGTACGGTAGACTTGGTAGCGAAAGACTGTCCGGCGATCTCTATGATGTGTCTGGTGGCGTTCTGCGACGTGATCGAAACCACCGTGCTAATGGAGAAACGTGAGGCCTGCACGAAACCCCTCGCACTGCTTGTGGTCGTGGGCTGCGCATGCGGTTCGAAGAAATGTCCAGTACGGCATGGAAAACAATCGATTCCAAATCTATCTGTATTCTATCCCTCGCAGGGTTTGCAGCCTGATGCACAAACAGAAATCATTACTGTCGACCCTTCTTGCAGAGACTCAATACGCGTCGGAGTACGAACACCAGTAGCACGCTTCATGGGCATCTTATTCCGGGAGTTAGTTTCTACTTGATCACTGTGGACGCTTGGCAACGCGCGGGGCACCTATCCATTTTTCACGTATGTATATGTTGAAGGCTCGGCAGCGCACGAGGGATGAAGCAAACATCGCCGCATGCATGTTGTCGTCTTAAGGTAGTCTACTGATCCTTCGGTTGTATTGATTGGATCGGATTGCGTGAGCCCGCCGCGTTTAAAGTGCATGGGAACTCCAGCAATTACTATTAATATTATTCGTCAACCCAAAGTGGTATGCCCTTGTTGTCTTTGTAGAGACTGTAGTGCTTGATGTTTAGATGCTTGTTTTCTCTCACACCCGGTTGGGGGGAAAGAGCAGGGAGTGCCACGCACACGACAGCTGACAGCAGCTGGCGTGGGGGCTCCGCACAATCATTCTCTGGTCGTACCACCCAACGCATACCTGAAACGGTCATCTCGTCTACAGATCTGTTACGGTTACATGGTTACGGTTGATAGGAGTTGCACCTTTGGGAGAATGCGTTGTTCCCAACAGGTACTAGCAGTAAGGTCCGGTTTGCCGGGCCCCGTCTTGAGGCTAGGATTGCTCAGCCCCACTGCTTCACTACTTCTCCTTGCTTGCCCTGAGTTAGCAATAATCAACAAGCGAATACCGTATCCACGACCGGAGACCTTCCACTCCTTGAAGCGGCGCCCCCTTCGGCCTGGTCGTCGTCGCTCCCCTCCGACAAGATCCCGAACTCGCACATCAAGCTGTATTGGCCCGGTGATGGCGACGCTACGCGATGCTTGCCTCGGCCAGCTCCTTGCCGCGACGAGACCTCCTTGTACAGGGCCGGTGGGACAAGCGCATGGTTCCACCTGCACGGGGAGCGCCGGCAGGTGCCCGAGAAGGCATGGCGGTAGCACACGTCGTGCGAGCGCAAGTAGTCGATGATCTCGGTCCGCGACGCGGACGGTGGCGGTCGGGTGTCGCTCGGCGTGGAGGTGGTCAGAGCAGGGGCTGATGCGGTACCCGCGGCCGGTGCAGAGGGGGCCGGGGCCGGCCGGTGCGCTGACGAACGGGCTTCAAACGGCACGCCATGGCCTCCGGGAGCCGTGGCGGTCCGGTTCTGATACGCCGCGACCTGTGGTGCTACGGGCGGCGCTGGTACGGGGGCAGGCGCTAGAGCAGAGAAAGGTTGAGTCAGCACGGGGGGTGGCAACGCCGAGGGCGCGCCGGTCCCCGAGTTAGCGAACAGCGACCGTGCCTCCGCCATCGTAAAAAGACGGTCGGGACCCGCTACCTTTAAATGTTTACGCGGCGGCGGCGGCGTGATGTACGACGCATTGCGCGCCGATAGCACGCCAACGAACTTGCGAAACAACTTTTCTGCTGTCACACCCCGTCGTGCCATCGCTTCCCCCAAGGGGTCGTGCCACTCCATACGCAAAGGACCGAGAGAGGAAGTTGTCTCGTACGCTGTCTCGTGTAGGATCGCGGATACTCCGTTTCGGTCGAATGGGTTAGGTAGTAAGACCTCGACAACCCGGTCATAAAGTTCGATTAGCGCTACCGGGGTCGCGAAACGCCAAAACAAAGCCTGCTCGGTCATGTACGGTCGCTCGGGATCGGCACGCGTCGCGCGGAATACTGAAAGTACACGGGCGGCCGCTGCAGACCACCCTTCCCCCGGAGTCAACGTCAACGCCGAGAAAGCCGAACGAGCTAGCTCTGCCGCACCCCCAGTCAACGCGTGTTCCCGTACATACAGACGCAACCAATCGGTGGCTGTGACCTCGCGATGAGGCTTCGTGATGACTTCGCCAGTAATGAGGTACACGTGGACATGGTCAGCATTGGCGATTTGTTGGCTAACTGACAAGTATTCCTGGACGAAATCGGAGATAAGCTCTACGCGACGAGGGGTGAATTCATCGGCGAAAGTAACGTAGCGCCCGTCAACGTACACGTCTGGTTCCAAACGCATTTTACCCGACTCGACGTTGTGAAGCACACTCATAACCTTATCCAGCAGCATGACAGCGGAGTTGGCGATGGTAAAAGGGTNCATGACAGCGGAGTTGGCGATGGTAAGAGGGCCGGAAGAAGGGCCGCCGTAGACTGGACACGGCTTGTCTCCTGCGATCCTCTTACGCATGCGATCAATCAGCTTAGCTGCCTGGTTGGAATCGAGACTGCGCTTACCTCGACCAGAGTCGGCCCACCTAAGAGCGCGTGGGTCTCTGACTGCCGGCCCTTCCTCGTAGGACGGGACCGCGTCCCCGTAGCCGCTCGGAGCCAGTGTGTGGCTACGGCGGCGAGACTGCTTGCGTGTGCGGTGGACGTAGGCAAGGGAAATGGAACGAGGGCGGGGACGGCGGTCGCGGGGGGCCGGGCGGGGTGGTTCAGCATCAATGTCACCATCACTGTCGCTGCTGCTGCTACCACTGCCGCTGCTGCTATCGCTAGGCGGAGGCAAAGGGCTGCGCGGGCGAGAACGTTTGTGCTTGCGGCTACGTGGGCTCTCGCTACGGGAGCCCTTGTGGCTGTTAGAACGCTCGGGGCGGCCGTCACTGTCGCTGCTGGTGCTACCACTGCCGTCACTACTGTCGCTAGGTGAAGGCGAAGGGCTGCGAGGGCGAGAACGTTTGTGCTTGTGGCTACGAGAGCGCTCACTACGGGAGCCCTTGTGACTACTCGGACTCGTGGGGCGACTGGAGCTCTTGCGACGACTCGATCGTTGGGAGCCGCCGCGAGGGGCTCCACCCTTGTCGTCGATGCTTCCACCCGCGGAAGATTCGTCCTGGGCACGAGCACGCGTCCTACGGCTCCGTGAGCGGCCCCGCCGACGGCGGTGACCATCCTGCCGGTCACCGGGCTGCTCGGCTGCCCTACGGCTACCGTCCTCGCCGAGAGCGGGGGCCTCGGCCTCCTCGCTGGGACTCCGGTTCCAGCTGCGGCTCCGGTGCTGGCTGCCGTCCCGCCGGGCGGCGCTCGATCCACCATAGTCGGCAAGGGAGCCGGGCAACGGTAACCGCCTCTCCCCAGCACCCCGGCGACGTACCGGGGACGAGTTGTCCATATCGACGGAGCCGACAGCACCCCTCGACAACACCTGATGGTTAGAAGAGGACATCGCTGCTAGCGCGAGACAGACGGAGGCGAGTCGTGTGAGAGAACAATGTGAAAGGAGTAGATTCAATGCAAGGTCACAAAGCGCGGGCTAAAGTACAATACGAGCATGCACGGCAAGAAAATACAAGGGAACAGCAGTTGCAATCATCTCAAAGGGGAATAGTGTTTTTGAGAAAAAAAAAAAATGGAAATGTAGCACGAAAAACTGGTCCAACTAGTACAATGGATACCATCTAAACGGCAGCAAGGAAAGTGCTTGCGCACAGCAAAAGCGAATGTCACTGGGCGTACAATTCGAATGCAGAAAAGCGACAGCATAATAACGGAACAGTCGGGTGCTCCCTGCGCGCCATAGGAACGCTGGGCTCATGCCATCCCCGAGCGACACCCGACAGCCACCGTCCGCGTCGCGGACCGAGATCATCGACTACTTGCGCTCGCACGACGTGTGCTACCGCCATGCCTTCTCGGGCACCTGCCGGCGCTCCCCGTGCAGGTGGAACCATGCGCTGGTCCCACCGGCCCTGTACAAGGAGGTCTCGTCGCGGCAAGGAGCTGGTCGAGGCAAGCATCGCGTAGCGTCGCTATCACCGGGCCAATACAGCTTGATGTGCGAGTTCGGGATCTTGTCGGAGGGGAGCGACGACGACCAGGCCGAAGGGGGCGCCGCTTCAGCAGCGTCCACTGGCTCTTCCTGAAGGTGCGCCCCAGGCGATGCGGACGCAAGCCTGGGGGACCCGTTGGCGGCGGTGGACCCCTCGTCGGGTGAGGAACAGAACAGCAGAGACCAGTTGTGGGTAGCAGGGCAGATTTGGCATCGGCATCGGCGCCGTAGACCGCGTAAGTTTGAGATTCTGCTAGACACCGGTGCAGGAGGCGGTAGCTACATATCCCTTTCCTTATGGCGTGGGCTCAAGCGACTCATTCGACGACGTGCTGACGAGAGTAGGGCAGGGGCTCTCGAAGCTGCTAATCCTCGTGACAGTGATACCCCTCCGATGCGTATTCTGGGATCCGTAGCACTGCCAGTGTTGTTTGACGGCGATTCGTGAGTGAGAGACGTAGAGGTACGCGTGGTAGACGGGTTGCGTTACGGGTTCATCGTGGGAGCAGACTTCTTCAGGCGGAATGCTAGCGTGCTTGATTTCAGCTCCAGCAGAGGCTTTAGGCCTGTACCAGCAGCACCCTGGGTGCCTTTTCTGTCGACGACACCATACGCCTCTCACGCCGCAAGCCCCCTCCGTAACGCTCGGGACCAGTTTAGTCTACTGACGGCTACCCCCGAGAACGCCCCGAAGTGCCCGCCGTTCCCACAGATATGCCTAGCTACGAGGATGTGGTGTGGGAGGACGACACCTCCTTCGAGTGGGACGTGCGACAAGTGCCGGAGACCACCGTCGTCGAGGGTTTCACCACCCGCGCGGTGGAAGCTGCGGCTGTGGGGCCACAACCGCAGGACAGGCAGCTAGTGATGGTCTTGCCAACCGAGCGGTTTGATCTAGAGCAGGGAGCTGTAGTCGGTGTAGCTCGTGCGGTAATGTGGTGGGTCCCGGGGTCGCCTGTCTACTGCAAGTTGGTGAACTGTAGTAAGGAGAAGGCGGCAGTCGAGGGCAGCCGGGTGATAGCTCGCATGATTGCATTCAATGTTCGCGACAAGCCGGCTTTCGATTCGCTGTTTGACATCGCCCCCTCCGCTGCCGACCAACCCCTGCCTCCCCGTGGACCGCGCGCCCCGAGCCCGTCCCCACCTAATGGGGCATCCGTGCCGCGTGTTCGCGTAGAGGACGCCAACCTGGGGACGCTGGGGTCGCTCAAGAAGCATCAACTCGTCAACGTTCTCGCAGCGTTCATCGAGGACGGCCTGTTTCCGATCGACCCGAAACGAGTGCCGGCCTGCATGAACGGTGAGCTTGAGCTTCCTCTGATCAACGAGTTTTGCACGCCTTTCGCAGCCAAACAACGGCGTTTTTCTCCGGAAGAACGACGCATGATCAGGGCAGAGATTCAGCAGTTGGTAGACCGAGGAGTGATCCGTCAACCCATGTCTCTTTGGGCTGCCCAGTGCTCGTGCGTCAAGAAGAAGGATGGTACGCTGCGACTGTGCATCGACTGGCGTGAACTCAACAAACTCTTGGTCTCCGATAGTGGGGGTTTGGGTGACATGCAGACGATATTGGACGGGTTGAAGGGCAAGAAGTATTTCACTCAGCTAGACCTCGCCTCCGGTTTTCACCAGATGGAAATTGCCGAGAAAGACCGTTACAAGACGGCCTTTCGAGATGCGGATGGAATGCTTTGGGAATTTACGCGCGCGGGTTTCGGCCTGACGGTGCTTCCGGCGGCCTTTACTCGTAGAGTGAAATCGGCTCTGGGGCATCTAGCGGGCGTGTTTAGCTGGCTTGACGACATTCTCATCGCTGGCGACTCACNGAGAAAGACCGTTACAAGACGGCCTTTCGAGATGCGGATGGAATGCTTTGGGAATTTACGCGCGCGGGTTTCGGCCTGACGGTGCTTCCGGCGGCCTTTACTCGTAGAGTGAAATCGGCTCTGGGGCATCTAGCAGGCGTGTTTAGCTGGCTTGACGACATTCTCATCGCTAGCGACTCATGGGAAGAACATCTCGCCACTCTGACGCTCGTTCTGAACCGCCTTCTGGCTGCGGGGCTGTCCGTAAACTTCGCAAAGTGCATTTTCGGCGCAGCATCGCAGAAATTCCTCGGCATGATCATCGACAGCACGGGTCTGTACCCTGCTTCGTCTAAGCTTNACTCTGACGCTCGTTCTGAACCGCCTTCTGGCTGCGGGGCTGTCAGTAAACTTCGCAAAGTGCATTTTCGGCGCAGCATCGCAGGAATTCCTCGGCATGATCATCGACAGCACGGGTCTGTACCCCGCTCCGTCTAAGCTAGATGCAATCGCACGTATGCCTCGCCCACACACCGTAGAAGAGCTGCGCACGTTTTTGGGTCTTACCGGTTACTTGCGTCAGTTTGTACCCAACTACAGTTTGACTGCCGCTCCGCTCACCAACATCCTGCGCAACAAAGCCGTCGCTTCGAAACGTGCACGCAAGCTTCCAATCCCGTGGTCCGTAGCTGAGGAAGACGCCTTCCAGTCTTTACGAGAAACGTTGGCTTCCCCGAAGGTCCTCGCTTTCCCTGACCTTGAGCGTCCGTTCGAACTGCACACGGATGCTAGCACGCTGGGTGTAGGAGC